ACTTTTCCACCTTCACCAACTCTTTTATTTGCTGTCAAGTAAACTTCCACAAGATTCCCATCTTTCCCAAAAAACCCAAATGGCATATCCCAAGTATCATGACCATTGATTGTTCTATGCAACAAGATCATAAATTTCATAAGTGTATCTTCATCTTTGAGTCGACATAAACTCCCAAAAACCTCTCCGGGAAGCACTTTTCCAAGAACTTCATGTCTCCGGTGACCAGTAAGTTCTTCCATGGCTGCATTCCATTCAGAACAACAAGCATCCTCATTGGAAGCAAATAAAGGAGGAATTAAAGGATTTAAAGTTTGGATAATCGCTTTATAATCTCCTTCCATACGTACAAATTTATCCATGACAATTTTCTCGGTTGTTACATCTTGTCCCACAAAGCATACTCCTATCACATTGTTCATGTAGTCCCGGCTTGTGCATGTATTAGCCATGATGTATATAATGGAGTTGTTTTTCGGATCCATATCAGCCTTACGTAGCTTCAACTCCACATTTTTTGCTTCTTCACCTGTATAAACAAAGCATGTGAGAGTTTCTAGTCTCGAGACTATAAATTATGTTCATCAAAGTAAGCATGACACAAAAAATGAGCGTGTTTTGAACCAACAAAGACTTAGATTCCCCCACATCACTTTTTACATGAAAACTTTTTAATTTCCACTTTCATTTAGACTTTATTTTTACCTATTGTTACCTCACACTCACAAGACATTCCTTTGCTTTTTATATATATTTTTTCCTTTAACTAATTTTTATTTAATTAATTTTCAAAGTAGGTTATGTGAGATGATTGCACTATTCATTCCAACGGCAATCCATGTAAGAAACGAATGAAGGGTCGTTTCGGATTTAGAAAGAAAACATGTGTTGTGAGTTACACAAACAGTCTCACACATATTCCTATTCATTTCCTTGAACGTCATTGTCTTTTATATTTTTTAGCTTTAAATTAATTTTCATGTAAAAGTTTTCTCCCTAATAACTTTTAGATTAAATTATTAGTATCTTATATATTTTAAAGTTACTCTTTTGGTCCATTACATATATTGTTCTTTATTTTCTTTTATGATTCACTTTGTAAAGAAGTTATTTGCCAAAATGCGCAAAAATTTCTCCCACAAACCTTATCCATGTCGAGATTCGTTTTTTAATATACTGGGTACCCACAACATCACGCGGACGGTCCAAACCCTAATTAAAACTAACAACCAAGTTGCGTTTCTCGTTACCCTAAGAATTCTTCATGTGAAATTAAATAGTACTTAAATTTCGATAAAACATGTACCTTGCAATGCTCTAAGTAGAAGATCTTTAACAACTTCACACGAAGTTTCATGTATAAATTCATCAACAAAAGACTTTCCCATAGCTTCACTAGCCATCACACCGGTCAACTCTGCAATTTTTGCATTCCACCCGTTGATCAAACCACAAACATCAACCCCAAAGATCGGGACAGATGCCGTTTCAATCAATCTCACCATTTCACATGCAACCAAACCGATTTCATCCATCCCTTGACTTATACTCTCACTTTCTTGACCATATTTCACCACCTTACCACTACCACCATCACCAACAACATCATGAACCGATGATCTCATTATCAGCTGCAAAGAATGAATCACATTAATCTCAGAAACTTCCCAAGGTAAACTTCGACTTTTTTCCACTTCAAGAAACGCCTTAAAAGAAGATCTTGGATGCATTCTATTAGCATCATCTTCATCCCCAGGGTGATGCTTAGCCCCTGCCCATTTCGTTTCTTTTTCTTTATGTGATCTAAACCAAAACAAGAAATCTTTAGAAGTGATTCGTGCAGCAGCCATACCACAAACCGCATCACCAAGCAAAACCGCACCAGGATAACCGGCATTTAACAAACTCTCGGTACTGAACCCCGTTGAGTCCTTATGCTCACTATACAACCAATTAGCTATATCCATAACTTGTGATTCATTTGGAGTTACACCAAGTAACCAAACTTTCCCATTGTAATACAAACCCGCCCCATCACATTTCACTAAATCCATTATGCTAGGAGCCTGAGTTATAATCGAAAAAGGGGAATCTCTAAGTACCATGTCACATAAAGTTGTTTGCATACTGAGTACCCTTTTTTCGGCTTTTTGTTCGGCTAATTGAAGCTCCATGGAAAGTTGTAAACCAACTGATCGCATTAGAAACTCACATGCATATCGAAGTGGGAACGGGATATAACGGGGAGAAGTGTGGTGGCATGCCACCAACCCCCATAGTTTCACGGATTCATTGTTATTTACAAGAATTGCCATCACTAAAGACCCGATGGAACCCATGTTAGCCATGTAAACCACATGGCACCCATGCGGAGCTCGAAGGGTGGAATTAACTAAACATAAAGGTTGCTTTAACTCGTCACTTTGAATCACTGGAACAGATTCCGCATCACAATCGACTATTAGCCGTACACGATTCTGTCTGAACAAGAATCTAGCTGCTTGTGGGATGTCTGTTGCGGGATAGTGAAGTCCCAAATACGGTTCTAAATCGGATCTTCGGATTTCTGAAACAACTTCACCATGTTCGTCATCGTGAAACTTGTAAACCATAACCCTGTCGTAACCTGTAAGCTTTTGAACTTCTTCAACAACAGTGTCACATAAAGCACCGATGTCTCCTCCAGGGAGAGATTGCAGCCTAGAAGTTGCTCTAACGACAAGTTTTTGTGACTGAACCGCACCAGCAAGAAGTAGTGTGGGGTCGCCGGAATTAGCAGGCTCTAAATCAATTATGACACCCACATCGATCCTATGGAGAATCGCGTGAAATGGTTTATGGGTACTTTTAGAATGAACCCAAATCGGGTTTAACAAAGTGATTTCTCTAGAAGCTACGGCTCTTTCTAATGATTCCCGGGAATTTGAGGTGAAAAGGGTTCTTGCATCGATTCCAAGGAGAGTACTATTCTTGTTCAGATTCAAACTCAACATACTAAAACAGTTTTCACTAAAACTTATAATTCTAAAAGTGGGTTCTTCGATTGCGATCATACAACCAAAAGGTTGAACCAAGCCACCCCTTTGAATTGCATCAAAATAAGCTGTCATTTGTTGTCCATCCACAGCTTTTGGTGCATTTGCAAGCAAATTCAAACAGTTAACAGACTTACCAGATCCAACAGAATGCTCAAATCCTGACAATAACCTCGCATCAGTACCATATTGAGCCAAGGTCGGGTTTTTATTTGTTGGGTTCATGTTGCTTCCGCCTGATGATGATGAAGGTGCCTTAATGGTTCGCTCCTCAGACTCTCCTAACTCCATTTTCAAGAACATCCATGGCAGCTTTCTTACGGTTTCCTGAGAAATTTGAAGTGGGTTCTATGCAAAAGATTAGAAGAAGGTACAGAATAAGCACACTTGTTGTAAATGATTGAGTTTGTTCTTCAACTTCCCACATATCAATATCATTTCCCAATACCCTCATCTTCTTAATACTGAATTCTTGATTTGGCTTGGCTTCTTCATTAGCATAAATCGGGATTAACTTCAACAAAAGCAATGCAGTTTCTTACTGAAAAGATTAAAAATCGAGAAACATTGGAACTTTTTCTAAAGATGGCATGGACCAAGGAAAAGGTAACAGGAAGATTCCGAGATAAAAAAAAATGAAGAGAATCACAAATCCATCTGTCACTATCTTTATCTCTATCCTTAATACTCGAAACTCCAAATTCCAATGTCTCCTTTCCAAAATGCCCTTGTTGGGCAGATAAAACTGGTTCAAGTGGCATCGAGTTACGATGTAAAAGACGAACTCAAAACCGAAAACTGGTGGCGTAGAAACTAGGATACACATTGGAATTAATTTGGAATGTGGTGGGGAAAGTTGCAGGTTTAATTGCCGCCACACATGGTGCCAATGTTTCGTTTCACTCTGTTAGTCTCGATAATACCAGCACCGCACCGCAACTGACTGCACGACAAAATTGGATTAAAATAAAGGAATTTTACTAAAATAAAGGAATTTGACCATATTTTAGATTGGATAGTTGCTCATATTTATTTATTTATTATTGTTATTATTATATTATTTTTTATATAGCCAAGGCGCGTTGAGAGGGCATATATGTTTAGCCCATTTTTCTATACAAAAGTAAAAAAATATATATTAAATGGCTGTAAAGAATTACCTTTTCAATTGAAAGGGATGAGAAAATCTATATATAGATGGTACAATTTTTTTTAGTTTTTTAGTGTTTGTTTTGGGTGGTGAATCTAGAACTAAAAACTATTTGTTTTTTTTTTTTTTTTTTTTTTTTTTTTTTTTTTTTTTTTTATATGTATTTTTGGTTTTATGTATATGAAACAAAAAAAAATATAAATGTGTAGAAAAATATTAGTGTGGTGGGTCGGATTGTATGTGAGTCGGATCTATACTTGGTCGTTCAAATGGATCAATAGGTAGGGGTGTTTACGGTCCGATTTTTTCGGTTTTT